AGAGAGAGAGAGAGAGAGAGAGAGAGAGAGAGAGAGAGAGAGAGAGAGAGAGAGAGAGAGCGAGCGCGCGACTCACTTGGACAGTGAGATGCCGCCGGGCTTGCCGACCTGCTCCTCATGATGCAGCACCGTCTCGTTCCACGGCACCTCTAGGAAGCTGAGGATCTGCCGTAGCTTCGTTTCCGGATGCAGCACGAGCTGCTCGTACCAGACGGGCAGGCAGCGAGTCGCGCCCACGCTGCGGCACTGCTCCCACATCGCCTGCATCGCCTGGTTCCAGCGCGACAGCGACTGCCGGTAGCTGTGCAGGTCGAAGCCGGTGATGGTCACCTTGCGCGTGATGATGGAGTGCACGACCGCGCGGCCGTCGCGCACCATCAGCACGAAGCGCGAGCCGGGGAACATCTGCGCGAGGTAGCCGGCGCTCTTCAGCATGAACGGGTCCTTGTTGCAGAGCCGCGGCGCCGCCTCGCCGTGCTTCGCGATCACCTCGAGAATGAAGGCGGCGATCGCGTCGTCGACGACGCTCGCCGTCAGGCCGGCCTCCTCGAGCCGCGTCGCCTCCTTCTGCGACTTGTACCACTGAGTGCGCATGCCGAGGATGCGCGGGATGATGCGCGTCTCCTCGCCGCAGCGGATGTCCGGGTGCGCGTCGAGCAAGACGCGCATGAGCGTCGTGCCGCTGCGCGGGACGCCGCCAACGAAGATGATCGGCATGTCGCGGCTGTAAGTGTACTCGCGCTGGCGGCTGTCGCGCATGTGGCCGACGCGCTCGCGCGGCACCATGACGGCGGCCGGCGGCGGCGGGCACGGCACGACGCCGGCGTAGACGAGCAGGATAAGCGCGAGCGCAGCGGCAGCGACGCACGCGAGGGAGCGCAGCACGCACGCCGCACGCATGTCGGCGTTACGCGGCGGCGGCGCGGCGGCGGCCCGCAGGCGGCGCCACGTCACGCAGCGCGGCGGCGGCGGCCACGTCGCGGCGTCGCACTGTTACGGCGTCGCCTCGCGACGAGCGGCGGCGCCACCTGGCGATTCGGCGTTCGACACGGTGCTGCCACCAGGTGAGTAGTCCCTCGACCAGCGCTGGTAGTTAGTCGTCTGACGGGCGACTGTGGTAATGTTGACCTGCAATCATACATAATGCAAGTTAATTTGTGACCTTGTGGTAATGTTGATCTGCAATCAAGCATAATGCAAGTTAATTTGCGAACCTGGCAGATCTGACATTGCTCTTGCGTCCCTGTTATCTGGCCTTACAGCAGGCAGGCTCGGCAGGTATACCTAATAACACGCAGCCAGTAATCAACTCTACTCATATCACACCATAACTGCCTTCATGCCTGCTTATCACGTGAGATTGGCAATTGATAGTCGGGGAGGGGGCGGGGGATACTATTTATATATTAATGCCTGTTGTTGGGGGCACTATGCTCTCATAGTGTTGCTGAGGGAAGGTATAGTTCCCGAGCGGATAGCGCATGGGCGAACTATTCCTGTCCCAAAAGCAACACTATGACAGCATAGTGCCACGACAACAGGCTAATGTTGTTAGTGCATGCACATGACTTTGCAATCTACTCTGGCAAATATTGAAGTGGAATAAGCAAATTTTCTTAACCACGAACAATTTCATTTGTATTATACTGTCTACGTCACAGAATTTCTGAGACCAGCCAAGTAGCTTATTTGTGTGTTTTTTGTGTACAAATAAATGTATGAAATGACAAATTGTGTTTCTGTTTACTTTTCATGCTTATTACCTGTCTTTATACTCCCCTAAATATGCCGGTGCATTTCGATGTAAGACAAACGGCTCGACAACAAACCAACGCCATTAATTCGAACTCTTGGTGGCGCCCAGACGCAGTGAGATTCGTGACGTGACACAATGCGTTAGAATACAATGCGTTCGCGCAGCAATAGTGCGCCGCCTCAGGCGCGGCACTATTGTTTCATACAGCTACCTGCGAACGTTTATCCAAGTGGAATTTCAACGATTTTGATCCAGTTGATCACTCAATGTCACATAATTGTTCTCGCACAGCCGGCGCATGCTTAATTGGCCATAATGAGCCGCCGCTCACGAGAGAGATATTAGGACGGAAGCTCTCAGATATAGATGCTACGTTGCGTAACGCGGCATGCGATGCCGCGACTGCTGATTGCTGTGGGCTTCTCATAGCATACACTGAGCCGATGAGCACGCCAGCAGATGTGCCGGTAAACCCTTATTCTTCTCCGGGGCGACACATACATCACCACACATCATCAGCATAACCTAACCTTCACTCTAACGTTAACCAAAACTGCACCCTAACGTTAACGTAACCTCACGCCTAACGATTAACCCTAACCTATCCTCACACCAACGTTGAACCGTAACATGTTACCTTCACCTAACCTAATCACAACCCTAATCTGATTTGCTACTATATCCCAAAACTTATGATGCTGTCGGACGGGGGTGTCGTGGAGTGGACTTCGCCCGAAACTGAGAAACAGGGGAGACAGAAGCCTAGCGCCCCTACCCGGCTACTCGTTCACCCTGCCACGCAGCTACAGATGACCAGCGGAGGAATGATCAGAGCGTCTTGACTTGACAGGGAGATGCCTAAGGTGTGCGCGATTGGAACAGACTGGACCGGTCATGCGGGCGAGTGAGGCTGGTGGGATGCTGTGAGGGGGGAGATGGTTCGGCGGGAGACGTTTACAGCGCTCAGGTTTTAATCGAATGCGTTCGATTTTGGCATGCGAAAAACGCACAAATTAATAAAACAGGTTTGCCGCGAAGGCACGTTGCTTTCGGTCGGTATTCGAAATATGCGCGTCTAACTTTAGGTTCGGTTACTCACATCTTATTCTCTCCGCTACCTAACTCACTCGCTTTCTTGAATCGCAATGAATGCACGCCCGCATAGGCTCTTCCCCATCTCTCTCTCTATCTTCTCTCTCGCTCTTTTCGTTCTACGCTTCTCTCTCTGCTCTTCTCTCTCTCTGCTGTTTGCCTGCTATTGTTGTTGTGTGCTGCTGATGTCGTTGTTTGTTGTCTGTTGTTGTTTGTTGCTGCTGCTGATGATGGATGATAATGTGTCGATAACATGATATAGGTTAGTCTATGTGCCTACATCCTGCCTGTGTTTTCAATGATTTCCGTGCCGATACCGTCCCCGGGCCACTGAGCCGTGCGCGAGGAGAGAACCGCGTGGAGATGTCGCCCTTCATTCAGTGACCCTGTCACGACTCGCTCGCTCGGCGGTAAAAACGTTATTACGATCGTCCAGAGGCCAAATCCTATTTGACTTCGAAAGCAAACAGAAATCGGGTGGGAAGTGTTCTGGCCTATCTCCACAAAACTCGTGGACAGCCGCTCTGCATAACGCCACGGCCACTGAACGGGATAGAGAGAATGAAGCTGTCTGACCCTCGTAGCTCACCACAAAAGGACAAAATGAGTGAGCTTGACGAGAAGTCAGTTTTAATGTGGCAAACCCTCGACATTAATTATAGAACGAAGAGTATATATGGGGAGAACTTCCATTATATTACTCTTGATATTATATGTGTAATTTTTATGTTGAACTAATACAATAAATAATATTATATAAATTTATAATATTTATAAACCAAAATGAATCACAATTTGTGACGAGTTAGATGGCAGCGTATACCGCTTTGATGTTTCCTAGCATAAATCATTATATTCATTAATAATAATAATAGGTATATAATAGTATAAATCATATATGTATCATTAGCAGGAATTTTGCATTAAGATATTGTGTCATGAAATCTTGTTAAAGCGACAGACGAGTGTACACCACAGACTGTTTGTTATCTGCCGTGTCTATATAATATGCTATATAATACCAAGACCCGACCTAATTTGCATAATCCAAAACCCTAGCCTTATTCATTCACAATACAAAAATGAGCAAATCGTTGAACCTGACCAAGTCGTTAGAGTGAACAGATAACCATCATTGCGAAATCCGTGCAATGTGTGTAGCTGCGCAATGGAGCGCCACGGTCGCCATTTTTAGAGGAGCAAACCCGCTCCAGTCTTGTTCCTGATACATAGAATAATATGGCATACCATGAGTTAATATATATGATATATATATTAGTAATATATGTATTGTAGATATTTATTATGCCAATAGCTGTACAAATCTTCTCATTCAAAGTGTACAAATCTAACAATGATTCAATAATGGACTGTTTACTATGTAGTATGTACACCACGTCAGTGGGTGTTAGTGTCAGACAGTGGTACAGTGCACAGGCGGAACAGTGGACTAATGCCACGGCGGCCGTGTTGGATAGGGTTTGTCTATATTCACGGCCGGTACGGAGATTCGGTCGCACTATATTTGCTAATATTTTTTTTTTTTTTTTTTTTTTTTTATTGACTAAAAACAAAAAAAAAAATCGCGCGGTCAATAAAACTCAATATTCACAGAGAGTATAGCTAAACATGTTGTCTATAGGTATCTAGAATATATTATGCAAATTGATCTCCCGTCCGGCTTGAATTTTAATACCTCGCTGTGAATATTGGTTTTATTGCACGCACGATTAGTCAATATAGCAAATAATATGGCGCGTCGGAAGTTCTATTCAGCATGATTAAATTTCTGAATTCTAAGATTACCTTGTCTGTAGCTATCTCTTCTGTAAATATATGAGTTCTATTGAGCGACGATTAGTCATGATATTAGGCAATATATGCCGTACCGTCATCTTCCCGTGACCGGCCTGATATAGACACTCCCTGTGTGGATAAAGATTCAATATGCATATACGCACGGCGGCTGTGTGGCCCGACTCATATGGCTATACGCACGGCGGCGCGTGGGGATAAGATTCAATATAGGCTATACGACGGCGGCCCCCCGTCTATTGCGCCGACTCAATATGCTACGGAATGAGAAGGGGCAGAAAGGGAAACGCTGTGGGGGGAGAAAGAGGGAGAAGGAGGTGTTGGAGAAAGGAGGGAGAAGCTGTGTGGAGAAGGAGGCGGAAGGAGAGAGGACGGTGGAGAAGGAGAGGAGAATGCTCCGGTGAGAGGAGGAGGGGGAGAACGGAGAAGGCTGTTGGAGAAGGAGGAGGGGGCAGAGGCTGGTGACGAGAAGGAGGGGAAGAGAGAAGGGCGGTTGGAGAAGGAGGGGAGAAGCTGGTTGGCGGAGGAGGGAGACGAACGGATGAAGGTGGTGAAGAGGGGGATGACGTGGTACGAGAAGGAGGAGGGGAAGCTGGTGGAGAAGCGAGGAAAGGGAGAGGAGGGGGAGCAAGGGAGCTGGTGGAAGACGGAGGGGCGAGAAGGAGACTGGTGGCGGGGGAGAGGAGTGGTGGAAGGAGGAGGGGAAAAGGGGGAGGCGTTGTCGGGGAGGGGAAAAGGCTGGTGGAGAAGGGAGGAAGGAGAGATAGAGAAGTTGTAGAAGAAGGAAGGGGGGAGACGAGGTGTGCGAGAAGGAGGAGGGGGCAGATGTGGTGGAAGAGGAGGAGGGAGAGACGGGAGAACGGTGCGTGAGGGAGGCGAGAATCTGGTGGAGAGGAGCAGGGAGAAAGCTGGTGGAGAGGAGGAAGGTGGGAGGAGGGGCGAGGGAGTGGTGGAGGAGGGGGGGAGAGGAGCAGAGCTAGCGTGCGAAGAAGGGAGGGGGAATAAGCTCGTCGTAGCTTCTCCTTCTCACAGGCTTTCTCCTTCTCCCCTCTCCTCCACCAGGCTCCCTTCTCCCTTCCTCCTTCTCCCAGTTCT